AAACCAAAACCCCACCTTCCGGTGCACACCTCCTCCAACAAGACCACACCTCCTAGTTGCTGTGGATATCGCTCTGTATAAATAAAATGCTGATTGGCCAGTAGCCGGGCAGGAAGTATAGGCGGGACAAGCAGAGAAGAGGATTCTAGGAACAGGAAGGCTGAGGAGACCCTGCCATGAATACCAACATGTAAGATACTGGTAAGCCACGAGCCATGTGGCAAGGTATAGATTTATAGAAATGGGTTAATTTAAGATAGAAGAACTAGATAACAAGAAGCCTGCCACGGCCATACAGTTTATAAGCAATATAAGTCTCTGTGTGTTTACTCAGTTGGGTCTGCGTGGCTGTGGGGACTGATGGGTGAGAGAGATTTGTCCTGGCCGTGGGCCAGGCAGGACTGGAGATAACTTCAGATACACCTAGTCCTTCTCAAACAATTCCACTAACTGGGGACCCAAGTATTCAGACACAAGCTGATAAGGGCCGGTCTCATTCAGACCTCCGCAGAGGCAACGACCATCAAGAACAGAACTGATACTGAGCATTGCGACTCACATCTCTAATCTACACTTAGGAGGTGGAAGCAGGAAGATCAGGAATTGAAGGCCAGACTTGGCTACACGGTGAGTTAAAGACTAGCCAGAGCTCTATGAGATTCTGTCTCAAAACAACCAACTCACCAGCACTGAACAACAAAATAATTGTTAGAAACCTATTAAAGAAAAAAAACCCACAAAAACAAAAGGAGCTGGGCATGGTGGCACATTCCTTTAATCCTAGCACCTGGGAGGCAGAGGCAGGTGGATCTCCTTGGGTTTGAACTCACCCTGGTCTACACAGCAAATTCTATGCCAGTCAGAGCAGCACAGTGAGACTGGATCAAAGGAAAAGAGAGGAAAGGGGAAGGAAAGATATTCTGGAAAGCCATTTTCTTTTATCCATTTGAGACAGAGTCAAATATCAACCTCAGATATCCACAAGAAGGAGTCATCTAGATGATTTCATGCGGAGTGTTTAGTGCCGTGGTAGCACACGGCCAGCCCTCAATACACAGAGATTTGTGGTCTCATGACTTGTGGAAAGTAATGAGAGAAAACACACATCTGTCCATAGGACTATATATTACTGTAGATTGTCACAGAAAACCAACCATGGCAGTCCTGTGTCCTTGGTGTTATAACAGGACGGGTGTCAGAGAACAGAGATGCTTAAGTGATGCTCTCAAGACTGGAAGCATGATGCTGTTCCACCAGCCAGCATTTCCTGAGAAATGCCGCTGTGGAGACCGAGGGTGCTAAACTTGAAAAACCTTACACTTGGCCACAAGCTGGATGTGGCACAAGAGACAAGTTTCGTTTCGGTTGTTCAAACTTCTAGTGTAAGGCAAAACAATCTGGGCCATTAGAAAGTGCTCTGTCCGGTTAGGTAGACAATTTGGCTAACAACTACCGGAGAGATAAAAGAGGATAACCGGGGTGGTCGAGGCAGTGTGATAGGTAAAATCACTTGATGCCCAAGCCTGATGCCCCGAGTTTAATCCCCAGGACCCTAGAAAAGGTGGAAGGAGAAGACCCCACAGAGCTGTCCTCTGACCTCCACACACACATGCACTGTGGTGTGAGCCCTACCTGCACGGTACTAACAAAGACCACAAAAGCAATGAAAAAGAAAACCTGAGGGCCTGGAGAGATGGCTCCGCGATTAAGAACACTTGCTCTTGCAGAGGACCCGGGTTTGGTTCCCAGCACTTACATGGTGGTTCACTGACATCCATAACTCCAGTTCCAGGGTACATGATGCCCTTCTTCTGGCGTCTGCAGGCACCAGACATACACGTAGGATACTTGTATACATGCAAACATTCACACACATAAAAATATGGAAAAAAAGAAGAGAAAACCTGACCACATTTTTGGAATTGCTCGTAATTCTAAATTTTCGATCCTGCTATGAATAAGAAGTATATTCCTAGATGTTTCAGAACAGTTGGGTGACACCATAAAAGTTTCCATATCTGAATTGCTATCTAAAAACTTAGCTTAAGTGAGTTTAGCGTATTTTTCTGAGCACTGAGGTAGTCTTTGTTCTAACATGACTGACTTATCCATTCCTCCCCATGAAAATTCACCCGTTTTATCATTTCCCTACCTACCACTCACATGCCTCGTCTTCTGAAAATCCAAACTCAGACCCTGGCAAAGGGTTGGGACCTGGCTGAGCCCTGGACCGCTAAGGACACTCCCAGGAAGTTTTTTTTTTCTCCTTGAGTTGGCAGTAGGACCGTTATGCCTTGACCTTGAAGCTACAAATGAAGTCAGTCTAGGAGCTGCCTGGCAAAGGACAGGTGGCCAGCACTGGTGGCGAGGCATCCCTGGGTCTAGCCGCCCTTGGGCGTGTCTGTTCCTGCACACAGCTCCGGGATTTGGTCGGTGAAGGGATTCTGGCAGGCCTTGACCTCTCGGATGACTCTAGCTTGTGTCAAGTTGACACCAAACCAGCCATAGAGGTGGCATCTGCACGTCCTCTGCTGTGTCTCCCCCGTTTGGGTTTAGCAAGTATGTCTGCTGCGTCTCTCTAGGAAAAGTCTTGTCACACAACAAGGGGAAAGAAACACCCGGAAGGGAAACGTGGACAGAGCCACTCAGACAACTGAAGGGGCTCTGGCAGGCTCTGCCCTTCCCCCACTCCCTCTACCTTGCTAAGCCATTAGATGACGTTCCTAAGGCTAGCCACCAAGGTCCGTTCCCTTAGTTGGCCACTTCCTCCTCCTGAGGCTGACCACCAAGGTCCAGCTATCAAAGTACTGAAGTCCAGCAGTCAGAAGCCCCCTTTGGCTGCTGTAATTAACACGCACAATTAAAATGAACCACTTCATCCTAGCATGGGGTTTCCCTTTATAAACCGCCATTTCCCTATGTGCTGTGTCTGTCTCCCCTCTATCCAGAGGCAATCCTGTGTCTCTCCAGGACAAATACCCCTGTTCCCTCTCCCTTGTCTCCTTCCCCTTCTCCCTCACCCTCTGTCTCCTCTTTGTCTCTTATTTCCTGCCCTTTGTCGCTCTGTGGCACATACATCTCCTTTGTGCTGAGAACTTGGTCTTGAGATGTCTTGTGTGACACTGGTCCTTTTAGTAATATTCTGTCCTAAGAGCATGACCACCACCGGGACTTCATGGATCTGGATTGCTGTTTAGTGCTGTGAATGATTGATTGATAAATGAAGTGCTGATTGGCCAGTAGCCAGACAGGAAGTATAGGCAGGACCAAGAGAGAGGAGAATTCTGGGAAGTGGAAGGCTGAGGCAGAGAGATGCTGTCAGCTGCCACAATGAGAAGCAAATGCTAAGATACCAGTAAGCCACAGCCATGTGGCAACTTATAGATTTATAGAAATGGGTTAATTTAAGATATAA